CTACAAATCTGGCTTCCTTGTTTCTATTCTTATTCCTCTGTATTCCATGTTCATTCTGTTATTCACTCCCTCACTTATTCAGTAATGTTTACTGAGCACAGACTTTATGCCATGCATAATTCTAGGTGCTACATATGTTGGTCACCAAAACTGTAAGGTCCTTGTTCTCTTGGAGCTTACATTCTAGTGACATTTTTATTCTACACAATAGAAAGGATGATCATTTAGAAATATTAATTGGGGCTGGGCATGATGGTTCACACTTGTAATTCCAGAAATTTAGGAAGCTGAGGTGGACAGATTGCTCGAGCCCAGGTATTCAAGACCAGCCTGGCAACATGGTAAAATGCTGTCTATACAAAAAATACAAAAAGAATCAGCCAAACATGGTGGTGTGTGCCTGTAGTTCCAGCTACTTCTGAGGCCTGGCTAAGCCTTGAAGAAGTGCCCCAATACACATCCAATCTGCAAAGACTGCGAGACCGTTTTTAATTTTTGGTTCTAGATGTTTGATAAAATCTCTGTCAAATCACTAGCTAACTGTTACTCTAGTAGAATAAAGACTTCAGTGAGCATACAGGACAAAAAATACAATCTTTATAAAAATAATTCAGAAAAGTCACTAAACAAACACCTAGAACCCACAACAAGCCAACAACAACGAATTCTTGGGGAGGTGGACAAGGAGACTCTCATTTCCACTGATACCACAGTCTAATATTCAAGCTATTCCATTTTCAAAAATAAAAAAAATTACTAGTGTGTGAAGAAATAAGAAAGTATAACCTATTCACAGGAAAAAAAGTTAATAAAAACTCCCTGAGGAAGCCCAGACATTGGACTTACTAGACAAGACTTTAAATCAACAATCTCCCTAACTGACCTAGCTCTATCTACCTCTTGTACCTCACCTTGTATCAGTCTATGCTTTGCTCACCATTTCCAGTCACAGTGGCCATCTTGGTGAGCTTCAGATCATCAAGCTTATTCCTGTCTTCAGACATTCTGTGTACTCTCTTCTGGAACATTCTATTTATTTGCATAGCTTACTCCATATAGTCTGTCTCTGTTTATATTCCACCTCCTCAGAGGCACCTTTCCTGACTACTTAATCTAAAATGGCTATGCCCATCCCAACTTCCTACAATTTCTGCTCCCTTTCATTGTTTATTTCATTACTCTCTGAAATTACTTTCATTCATCCTTTGTTGATTGATTGATGATTGATTTTATGTTCCCCTTACCAGAATGTAATAAGCTCCTTGGCAGCAGGTACTTTATTTGTATCATTTACTGTGGATCACCCTCCTACGACAGTGAGACAGGCTAAATACTTAAATGAATAAAGACAATTTATATGTGTTGAATAACAACAAAAAATATAAAATGCTTATAAGATTCTTGGGAGAAGTCTCCCTCCATTCAGGAATTTTGCTCACTAGCTATTTAGTGAATCTACTAGAGGATATCTGTCCACTGATGATGCTTCAAATGAAGTGAAAAAGCAAAATGTCTGATGCCACCATGGCCTGCCATTTTCATCCCAGGGAAAATAATCACAGGCATGTTGGGGATGGTGGTGAGAAAACTTCTGCACCCTCCCCTTCCACCGCCCATAATCGCTGGCCTGGTCAGGGACTGATAGTGTGTTGGAGAGCTGCAGGCTAACCTCTACATGTAGTCCCCGAGACCAAGAAAGCCGGGCCAGTTTGGTGGTAATAGTGATAGAGGTGTCCTTAAGATTTCAAAGTAATACTATATTTGGCAGAAGTTCAAAACTGGATAGGTAGTATAAAAATGCTGCTAAGTATTGCCTTGAGTTAAAAAAAAAAAAAAAAAAAAAAAAAAAGAGGAACAGTAGATTGACTGGTCTTTGTTTCTTCTTGTTCAGCAACTCCTGAATCATTGCCCAGAGACAAGAGTCCTCCTTGATTCTGGCAAGTTCTAAAACAACCTGAGAGGAGAAATGATTCTGTAGAATTAAATTTATTAACAGCTGTGGGCTTATCTCATTAAGGATTAAACAGTTTTCCTTCTCGATGAAAATCTTTCTAGAACCTATTATATACATCCTTTACTTTTTCCTTATATTAACTACTTTTCTTTCTTCCCAAATACACTATAATGAGCTCAGCAACATCTTCCGTGGCAGTAGGGCATCCTGATAAGAATGTTGCTTCTGAAGCCAGACAGCTTGGATTCAAAGCCTGGCTTTGTCACTCACCTGTTGGGCAGGTTAACATTCTATGCCTCAGTTTCTTTATCTGTAAATAGGGATAATATTGGTACCCTCCTTATAGGTTCTTGTAAGGACTAAATGAATTAATACATGTCATATACTTAACACACTGCCTGGGATACACTACTGCTTGGAAAATGTTTGCTGCTGCTGCTACAAATACTGTTAAAATTATCACTACAGTAAGATTTTTTTTTTTTTGGTGTCTTGAGCTCATTATAAAGATGCTAAATTATAATATGCTGCAACCTAGTGATGCCTTCTTAAAGGACACAGCATTATTGGCTTTTACATGAAATGGTCCCAAACTGATTTGCCGGAGTGGTCTAATATGCTGTTTTATAGCTCTCGTATTTTCCTTTGTGAAGTCCCCTTTTTACTTTTCACTGTTGTTGGTCATTTTTCATATCTATATCAGCCTCTTTCCATGCTTCTATTTTTGCAGGGGGCATAAAAAAGAGTTAATCAATTTGTTAGACATATGTGCCAAGTAAAAGCTAATACATTCTAAACTAAGTTGAAAAAACTCTTTTATGGATAGAGAGAAGGAACTTGAGTCCATGGACATCTATTTGGGCTATTCATCTCTTTAGGCTATTTTATTTGTTCTCATTTCTTGCTTCTTAGATAAATATAAAAAGTTACTTTAACACTAAGTTTCTGGGGTAATAGATATAACAATGGTAATACATAAAGTTAACAAACCTGTAATTGAGTTCAAATAAATATTCATTACAGTCCTATTACATGCTAGATACTGAAGGAACAAAAATGAATGATATAGTTCTGAGCTACAAGAAACTTGTAATTAAGAGGAGGAGATAAAGTATAAACAAACAATATCAAAGTAATATAGCTAGGGATACTAAAGATTTTAGACCAGGTACTAAGGGAGTCTAGAGGAAGGGCCCTTAGCCTAACCTGGGGATTCAGGGAAAGCTTCCTGAAAAAGGATCATGCCTGAACTGAGCTTGATGACAGCCAGGTGAAGAAAGGTTAGATAGGCTATTCTAAGCATGGGAACATGAGAAGTGATGAGACAGGAAGCAGCACAGTGCTTTCGTGAGAGTATTTAGCTGTGGGTATAAATGATACATAGTTTGATATTGCTGTGATTCCAAAATGAGATGGGAAATGGTGAGAAATGAAGGTAGGAGGTAAACTGTATAGGGATCAGACTCAAGGGGTCCTCATATGTCATGCTGAGAAGCTTGAATATTACTTTTTTAAGAGATGGGAAGCCATTAAGAACACTTTGAGAAAAGTAGCAATTTGTGGATTTTCACTTTAGATGTAAAACTTAGTAAGCAGTGTAAAAGACAGCAAAATTAAAAAGACTGTGGGAAGAGGGACCAGTTAGGTGGTTGTTGCAATTAACAAGCTAGAGGCAGTAAGAACTGAAAGCAGACAAGGCAGTAGTGATGGTGTGGAAGAGAGGGTCCCAAATGTATTTGGAAGATAAAATTAGAAGGCCCTGGTGACCTAATTAGATGAGGTGGGGACAAGGTAGAGAGAAATCTAGGATGATCTTGAGTTACTAGAAAGATGATAATTCAATTAACTGAGAGAGAAATAGGTGGGTTTTGGACTTTGTTTTTTATTTAGTTTCATTTTTTTTCTTCTGGGGGGTGGGCATAGGAAGATAAAATAGTGAGTTCAGGCTGGGACATATTAAGCTTGAGGTAATTATGAGAGAGGTCAGAACTGGAGATATTTTAGAGTAATTAACAATAGATAGAATCATAAAAGGAAACAGCACCTTCTAGGTAAAAGTGAGAAAAGATAAGAAGAGCAGAACAAGAGTGAGACAGTAAAAGAGAGAGAGAGGTAGATGGCCCATGAAAGAAACTTAGACTCCATATTGAGAGACACAGGGAGAGAACAGTACCATGACTGCCAAAGCCATGTATGAGTTTCAGATGTAGCAGTCAGCAAAGTTAAACACACTCATAACAGCTACATTTTCTGAGCACTCACTACATGTCAGGCACTGTGTGGTTTTACATACCATATCTCATTTAATTTATTATCCACATGGTATGATGAATCTGAAGTTCAGAGAAGTCATGTAACTTACCCAAGGACATTTGGTAAGCTGGCAGAACTGGGATCTGAACCTAGGTCTGCTGGATTACAAAACCCATGTTCTTAACTCTGCCGGAGTGAAAGAACTTCTTTGGGATACAACTTATTATCATAAAGACTGCCCATATATTGCTTTTCCAAGAAGCATATCTTTAAACCTGTCTAGTAATCTCAAAAGAATATTTAATGTCTAATAAGGTCATTATACATTTGATCACTTTATAATATCAAAATGAATTATTTCAGTGATACCTTTTAATAATCTTTTTATTTCAGAAATACTACACTGGTCAAATTATGAGAACAGTAAGGTGTAATACAAGACAATCCACTCAACTGAGTAAAGCCCAGCTCCAACAAACCTAAAAGGAAGGTCCTCCTTGGACTAGTTAGTGTTCTTCACAGGAAAACTAAGTGCCTTGGACTTAGATCTGAGCATACTCAGCTTTTTCACAAATTTACTATTGGTCCCACGGAGAATCAGAGAGAGTATGCGTAATTCAGCACAAACTTACCACAAATGTGGAAGATTTCATTAAATTGTACATTCTACGGAAGGTTTATTTTAAATAATAAATGATTATCCATTGGAGAGAGAATAAGAAAGTCATATTTCTATTGTAAAAGTTGTAATTTTCCCACTTCCCACTAGAGGAAGCAATAGCATTACTCTTACCATTTGGTGGGTAAAAGACAGCATATTCTTCCAGTCCTAGTTTTCCTGTAAGAAAAAACCATAGAGGATTTCAATATGGTTAAGTAAATAAATCTTTAAAAATCAATTTATTTTGTGAATGTACTAACAATGGAATTTTTAAAACTACTATAAGCTGATATGTCATTTCATGATATGGAATTAACTTAAAAATTTATCAGCCAATCTTTTGACATTTAGCAAATGCTTTCGTCAATTAAAGTTAACATGAACCTAAGTACAACAGAAGAGATACAAAACGACCGAAAGAACAAATGTTTTCAAGTTCCTTAAGCACTTAAGTAGGTATTTATTATGCATAAAATTGTTTTGCTAATTATAAATAAGTCTAATATATTTATTAAAGCAAGTCTTAAGCTTTGTAATACTGTGTTTACATTTTTATGGAATGTGCTGAAAGTTAAAAATTAAATGACTAGCTATATGGTGGTCATAATTTTCTGAATACCGAAACAGTTCACATGATTTGAGAATGGAGCTGAATATTTGAAATCAGAATTGTCCCAGAAAAGTAAAGTATATTCACAATAATCAAATATTTAAGAGCTTTAAAAAGTATCTTTCCTTCAAAACTCTCTTAAAGTTTTCAGTTTTTTCCACCCTCCACTGAATATCTTTAAATAGCTTTCATATTGACAGTTTTACTAACAGTTTTGAGTTTATTGAAAAGTCACTTGCATTTTGGTACTGGGCTTTAAAGTAATATTTCTAGTTAAAAATGTTCTTTTTATTCTTGTTGGGGCGGTGGCAGAGATTAAATGAAGAATAAGAAGTGTGAGCAGTTCAGGTTAGGGTGGTGAAAAAAAGGATTGATCTTGTGAGCAAGAAGAGATGGAATAATGAAAAATAGGTAGGTAGGTAAGTAGATAAAATTGATTACTGGGCTAGGTGCTGAGAGGTAAACGGAATATATATATATATGTATGTTCCTTCAACCATGTGGTTGTAGCCCAGAATACACCATGAAACATTAGGGTATATTTGCTAACTTTTCTAGCACAGCCTTTAAGTGTTTAGAAGTTCAGAGGAGAGAGAAATGGATGATGGGTTGGTGGACATGATGAGGTACAGGCTAGTTCTTCAAGGACTTTTAATTTTTAAGGTGGAAGAGTGGGAAGCCTTCCATATGCAGGGGCAATAGGGAGGCTAGAATGAACATGGGGTATTGTAGAATAATCAGGGAAGCAAAGTCAGTTAGGTTAAGACAGTGTCAACTGGTCAAAGGCCTTAAAATCCTGGCTGAGTTTAGAGGTGAGCTCAGTAGATAATTAAGTTTACAATCAGTTTTTCAACAGATGACTTAGAGAAACAAACAAAAGGTTTCCACAAATTTAATTTAGAAGCAATGGAACTAAGAAAACCTTAAGTTAAGGGTAGTCCAACTCCAGCACAAGGTTATGTGGCCTCTCCTAGGGCAGAAGCTGGAGAAATCAGGCAGATAGTTCAGACATAAGAGATACAGGAGAAACAGTTTCTTTCTTCATGGAAATGGTAGAATGGCCATACACAATGAAGTTTGAACTTTCAATGTTGGGTGTTCACCATTTAATAATAATAAAAAAAAGTTGGGAAGGGCATTCAGCTGAAGTTAATTCTATCTTCAGATGATGGCAGGATATTGCTATTTTATAAGCAGCTGGTGATAAAAAGGAGAAAAATACCTAAACTAGAAATTAGAGAGCTAAAAGCATATAAATTATATCAAAGTTTTAAGTGTGGTGGAGCATTTTGAGAGAAGAAATATAGATGGTTAAAAAAAGTAGAAAAAGGAAATTTGTGTTATAAACTCATAGTTAGAAAGAAAAGTCAACAGATATGGCACAAAAACAGCAATAAAGGGGAGAACACAAAGGGAAGACAGAGAAAATAACTTGAAATGCTGCTCTGGGAACCACTTTCCCATGATTTGTGATAAATTACTTGGGCATTGATTTGAGCTATGAAAGGATGATTACAGTCATCTGAGAGAAATCTTAAGTAATTTATAATAGTTTGGCAACACCAATATCTCCAGAAAATAAAACAAACATTCTTGGCATAATTACATAAGTCTTAAATAATACTTTCTAAAAATGATTAAAAATTTACCTCTTATGTATGATTTTGGTGGCGAGGCACTGTTGTATGCAAAGTGACTCAACACAGATGTATCCCGGGAAAAACAAAGTAATACCTGAATATAACATTGGAAAAAAATAGCAATTAAGCACCATTATAAAACCAGGTAATTCATTATTTCCTACTCAGCAGGCATCCTTCAAGTTCAAGTACCATGCCTTGAGGTGGGAAGAGTGTCCTTTGTCGGTACACCTTTGGTAAGCATTACAGTGGGATGCCAAGTTCTTCCAAAGAGTTCTCACTGTTTGCTACCTCAGAAAATGCAAGTTGCTAACTAACAGTTGATTCTTCTCTTGTGTTTTCTATCTGGACAAGAGAAACACTTGGGGGAAATTTAACAGATGAAAAATGTATAGGGAAGACCCTGAGTAAGTATTGTGGCAGGGAGCAATTTGGGAAGTGCAGGAAAAGAACTTGACTCAGGCTGCGATGCATCAGGCAGTTGGGCATGTCAGGGTGGGAGGGAAGGCAACTCGTGGTACTTAGAAGGGATGGCAGCAGCAATAGAACAAATGGTTGCCAAATAAAGGGTTGAATCTAGTTGTCCTGACCAGTAGGGTAGAGTTTGTCAACTCTGTGTAGAGATGAAAATAGGCAGGGTATAAAGTCAGGATCCAAGGATGTCCATTAGGAGGTACTAGATTGAGGACACCAGAATGGAATTTGGGAGCAGGAGCCCAAGACCCTGTAATGCCATTAGTGATAGGAAATCTGGGTCTTGGTATTAGAAGACCTAGGATTCTAAAAAAATTACCAAGATAAGAATTCAAGATGACTGGAAAGGCAGAACAGGGGCATAGAGTCAGGGCTGAACTAGCAGCAGGAGTGAAGGGAGAGGAAAAACCCTTTTGTGTCCAAGACACAAGAAAGGAGACCCAGCTTTGGTGAAAGGAGACCCAGCTTTGGTAAAAGGATAGGTAATGGAGGTTGGGCATCAGTCAGGTTCAATGGTGGAATGTGTACCGACCACTGCCACTGCTTTATTTTTATTATATTTTAAGTGACTACATAAGCGGTACATGTTTACGATAAATTTAGGAATATAGATTATTGACTGGGAGCGGTAGCTCATGTCTATAATTCCAGCACTTTGGGAGGCCAAAGCAGGAGGATCACTGAAGCCCAGGAGTTCAAGACCAGCCTAGGCAACATGGTGAAACCCCATCTCTATTTTTAAAAAATTGCAATTAATTTTTAAAATAAAGAAATACAGCCATAATCCTGTCAGTCTTAATAATTTGATTTATATCCTTTCAGACTGCTTTTTAACATACTCATACATATAATTTTTTTCAAACCGAACAGGATTATATGGTTTTCTTTCACTATTATAAAATAAAATCTTGCATGTTCTTCACATGTACCCCAAAACCTAAAATGCAATAAAATAAATAAATCGGAAAAATAAATAAATAAATATAAAAATAAATAAATAAATATTTCCTACACATTTTTATGTTGCAGAATATTCCACTGTATGAAAGAACAATAATTTATTTAACCTGTATTGTTGTTTAACATTTCATTATTTCCACTTTTCGCCAACTACAAACAACACTACAGTGAATTTCCTTATGGCTAAATACGTACAACTTTAATTATTTAAATTACAAAAACTGGACCACCTGTCTGGTCAAATGCTTTGGGCATTTTTAATTGAACGATGCCTCTCCCACAGTTTCTCTATTTACTTCTTCCTAACTCCTATGAGCTGTAAGATTTACCTACATGTACTCAATCTGCAATGCCTTTTATTTACTTTTATCCCTCCTGTTTCATTCTGGATGACTTCCTCAGATTATTTTTTCATCAGTTCACTACTTCTCTTCTTCTGCCTCTACTATGCACCAAGCACTGTTCTAAGTTCCTTGTGTTTAGAATACATAAAAGGAAAGGAACAAACAAAATACCTCTTTTATGGAGTTTAATTATGATGGAGCAGAATGTATGTGTAACAAATAGCAAAAATAATAAATAATTACATTATATTCTATATAAGGTTGCAAGTCCTATGGAAACAAGGTAAAGGTGAACAGAGAAAGAGCAGCTGTCATTTTAAAGATGCTGTTTAGAGTAGGTTTCCTTGAAAAGGCATCATCTAATCAAAGGCTTGAATGGAGTTGAGAAACTTAGCATGTGAACATATGTGCAAGAGCATCCCAGGAGGCTTATTAGGAGACTACTGACAGTAGTTTGCACTAAGATGGCAGCAGTGTATGCTGGATGTACGACACGCCACCCAGAGATCCTCCTCTAGGAATGAAGGACATATTATAGCAGCTGGTAGAGCTGTAGCAAATAGTCCTCAGCAGCCAGCTCTTTTCATTGACTATCTCTGCTGAAAAGAGCTATTTTGCTCAAATATCAAGGTTATATCCTTTTCCTGAAATGGCCTACATCTAATGAAGGTGATGCAAGGGAAAAAGGTCTGAACTTCTCCCCAGCTCAGGATGGGTCTGACAGTTTATCCCATCTTCAGAACGCTCTGCAGCATTGGCTGAGGGTTTCATTTAAACTGTATTGCACCTAGACTTTTCCTTATGCTCAATCCTTAATTCACTGTACTTCTACATGTGTTGATTCCAAGAGGACTCCCCAATAAACCTTTGGCATCCTCATCTCCATCTAAATTGACTTCTCTGGGAACCCATCATACAACACAATGAAAGTAGGAAAAAGTGGTCAGGTTCTAAATACATTGTGAAGGCAGGGCAAAAGGAGTTATGGATAGATTGATGTGATGTTTGAGAGAAAGACAGGAGTCAAGGAGAGTCAACATGTGGAAGTTGAAAGTAGAAGGATGTTTGATCTCAGCAGGTGGAACATCTTTAACTGAGACAGGGAAAGTGGGAGGCAGAACAGTTTTGGGAGTGAGATCATGAGTTCATTTTTCAACATGCTGTTTGAGATGTCTGCAAGACATCTAAATGGAAAAAACTGAATAGGTAATTGGAGATACTGTTATGGAGTACAGAAGAAAGGTTTAAACTGAAGATATAAATTTGGGAGTTATCAACATATAGGTGATACTGAAAGCCACAAAGTAGGTGAGCTTGGTGAAATCATCAAATGAGTAAGTGTAACTAGAGAAAAGAAGACCAAGAACTGAGACCTGAGGCATTCTAGGATATTGGGGAAAAAAAAAGAGAAGGAACCAGCCTATACAACTGAGGCATGAGTAACCAACAGAGGTTGATTTACCATGATGCTCTGTGAGTGCTGGAAGTTGCTGGGAGACACACAGTGCCCTAGGCAAGGAAAGTTAAGTCAGCTTGTAATCAGAAAGCATTTCTTTGTATGCATTTCTGGTAAACTGCTTAATAAGATCTCAGAAGAAAAAGACCTGAATTTCTACAGTTCTAATAATTTGTTACAAATTGTTCCTCATTCTAAACAAAAATACATGTTCTTACAAGAAGGGCATTACATAATGGTAAGAGGACCAATGCAACGAGCAGAGCTAATGATCCTAAATATATATGCACCCAATACAGGAGCACCCAGATACATAAAGCAAGTTCTAACTGACCTGCAGAGAGACTTAGAGACAATAATAGTGGGAGACTTTAACCCTCCATGATATTAGACAGATCAACGAGACAGAAAATTAACAAGTATATCCAGGAGTTGAACTCAGATATGGACCAAGTGGACCTAATAGACATCTACAGAACTCTCCACCCCAAATCCACAAATATACATTCTTCTAAGCACCACATTGAACCTACTCTAAAATTGACCACATAATTGCAAGTAAATCACTCCTCAGCAAATGCAAAAGAATGGAAATCATAACAGTCTCTCAGACCAAGGTGCAATCAAATTAGAACTCAGGATTGATTAAGAACTAACTCAGAACCACACAACTTCATGGAAACCAAGCAACTGTCTCTTGAATGTTGACTGGATAAACAACGAAATGAAGGCAGAAATAAAGATGCTCTTTGAAACCAACGAGAATGAAGACCAGAATCTCTGGGACACATTTAAAGCAGTGTCTAGAGGGAAATTTATAGCATAAATGCCCACATGTGAAGCAAGGAAAGAACTAAAATTGACACCCTAACATCAAAATTGAAAGAGCTAGAGGAGCAAGATCAAAAAAACCTCAAAAGTTAGCAGAAGACAAGAAATAACCAAGATCAGAGCAGAACTGAAGGAGAGAGAGACACAAAAAAACCCTTCAAAAAATCAATAAATCTGGGAGCTGGTTTTTTGAAAAGATTAACAAAATAGACTGCTAGCCAGACTAATAAAAAAGAAAAGAGAGAAGAATCAAATAGATTCAATAAAAAACAATAAAGGGGATATCACCACCAATCCCACAGAAATAGAAACTACTATCAGAGATTACTACAAACAAATCTGCACATAAACCAGTAAACCTGGAAGAAACGGATAAATTCCTGGACACTTGCACCCTCCCAAGACTAAACCAGGAAGAAGTTGAAACCCTGAATAGACCAATAACAAGGTCTGAAGTTGAGGCAGCAATTAATAGCCTACCAACCAAAAAAAGCCAAAGTCCAAATGGGTTCACAGCTGAATTCTACCAGACATACAAAGACAAGCTGGTACCACTCCTGTTGAAACTATTCCAAACAATACAAAAAGAGGGAATCCTTCCCAAATCATTCTATGAGACCAACATCATCCTGATACCAACCCGGCAGAGACTCAACAAAAAAAGAAAACTTCAGGCCAATATCCATGATGAACATAGATGCAAAAATCTACAATAAAATACTGGCAAACAGAATCCAACAGCACATCAAAAAACTTATCCATCACAATCAAGTAGGCTTCATCCCAGGGATGCAAGGCCAGTTCAACATATGCAAGCCTATAAATGTAAACCACCACATAAACAGAACCAAAGACAAAAACGACATGATTATCTCAATAGATGAAGAGAAGGCCTTCGACAAAATTCAACAGTCCTTTATGCTAAAAACTCTCAACAAACTAGGTATCGACGGAATGTATCTCAAAATAATAAAAGCTATTATGACAAACCAACAGCCAATATCATACTGAAAGGGCAAAAACTGGAAG